TTTAAACTATAACATAAAACTTAAATAATTAAACAGTCCGTATCACACACAGAATTTTTTTTTCTCCCTGTCATTATCCGTCAGCCCGTCAGTTGATCACAATCTCTCTCTCTCTCTCTCTCTCTCTCTCTCTCTCTCTCTCTCTCTCTCTCTCTCTCTCTCTCTCTCTCTCTCTCTCTCTCTCTGTCTGTCTGTCTGTCTCTGTCTCTCTCTCTCGCTCTCTTTTATTTAATTTTCCCCATTCTCGTTCGTCCCTTCCCAAGGCCCGCCCCTCCTCTTTCATCCCAGCCCCATCCCCTCTTCCTTGCGTGCATTCCCCCACCCCGCCCACCCCCACAACGTGGCCCAGCCCGATAAAACTTTATAAAAAGAAACGCCACAGTTCGTGATTTAGCCCACACTCAGTCGCCATATTTGATCCCCAACGCGGCGTACTGCTCGCGGCGCCGCGAAGAGAGAGAGGAGGCTCCATTAGTTCTAAACTCCTTGAGCCTAATGTAAATGGGAAAAAAATATGCCACGTTGTTCTAATTCAATGTATAACAATAAAAATTGTTTGTTACAAGACTAACTTATCTAAAAAATAAGATGAACACAATGGTGAAAATTGGAGAAAACAATATTAGATCCAAGCCTTTGAAGTTAGTTAAAAAGTACAATTTTAGAATAATATTTCATAGCTGAAATAATATGACCTTGAATCAAAAGTTTCCATTCAGGTAAAATGTAGGAAAATCTGGCTTTATTAACATTTGCCAAGAAAAATCAACGACCTCAAACATTACCTAGATATCCAGATTAGTGGGGGAAAAAAACCAGAACCATCTCATCCGGAAGTAGGTACCGCAAGCGAGCCGTTTTCAAGGCAGACAGCTACGGCTGGAGCCAGATTTGGACAACTTCATCCAACTATTAGCTGGTTTTAATTTTGGTAAACACTAATAAAAATTATACCACTGTTTTCTGTGTCTTTCCTTCTCCATGCATGGTGAACGAGAAACTGATACTTATGATTGCATATTTAGTTTTTAATTGACTAAAGTTTAACACGAGAAAACTCGGCCGTCTCGCAATCTTCCGCGCTTAGATGGGGGGGGGGGGGGGGGGGGGGGGGGGGTACTTATTTTAGATTTCGATTTCTCAGTCGTGAGTCATCGAATTTTCTTGCGGTTTGAAACATAAAAATCTGGGATTTCAAGAGAATTTGAAATTTTTTTTAGCTAAGTCTATGCATGTATTTATAATGATTGTGTGATTTTCATTAATGTGGAGGCAGTTTTGACTTATTTGGAAGAGGTTAAAATAGGGTTCTGAGCTCTTAATGACAAATTTTGCATTTTTTCCCAATTTTTGAAGGCCTATATCTTGGAAACCAGTCATTCTAACAAGCTTTGATTTAGAGATATCAATATTTGTGTTGACAGCTCTGGGAAAAACAAAGTTTTCATTGATTTGATAATGTACTTTGTATTTTAGAACACCTCAAACATGGGTGAAAGTCGCAGTTGAAAAGGTTTCGTTCAAAAATAAAACTTTGAAATACCATATCTCGATTGTTTATTGATGGATTTTGATCATTCTTTTTTCAATGTTCTCGTTTCATAGAGTAGATTTGAACCCCTGAGGTTTAAACGTCAATATTGTTCAAATAATTTTTCGCTTGTGGTACCTACCGAAAGTAGCGTTGATGTGTTGGGCGCTTGTCGATACTGGCCAACATCGAGTACTCAATCGATTAAGAGAGCCCAGTATGGATAATCAACAAGTAGGCCTACTCAGTACTTACTAAGATTTAACAGCAGACGTAACCTAAAGTTTCTCACTGCAATAATGTCAATACTTTTGAAAAACCATAATAAACCACGGAAAGCAGTAGTAGCCTAGCAGGCCTCATGCATTAGCCCGAGCCCTGTCTATATTGCTTTTGGGGGTTTTCGGTTAATCTCTTTTCTGTTTTTGTCATTGGGTTGGTATTTTGGGGGTTTTGTTTGCTCTTTTCTTGAGGGGCTTCATTAAAATTTTAAAAAATAATTTAGCTGAAACCTAAAATTGCCTTCTGAATTTTGGGGGATCGGCTGCATTCGTGAACTCTTGGAATCCCCCCCCCCCTCCTCCCCTAAACTTCCACTATGGAAATCCGTTGTATGCCTTTATATATCACGAACAATAGTTTTTCGGTCAGCAGCATTTTCAATGCTTTTTAGTAATTTAAAAAAAAAGTCCCAACATGCCAAAACTTGAGTATGAACCAAACGACAAAAATATCTATCTACTAAGGAAGTCGTTCTTAATAAGACTGAGTACTGGTATCGATTAGCGCCCACCCGGAGGCGATCAGTTCAACAGGCTATGAGTCTGTCAAAGACGATAAATGCAAACGAGTTTTTTTGTGTGAAAGACATTCCTACCATTCAAAGAAAATCAAATTTGGCATCACTTTTATATTAAATTATAATAATAATAATAATAATAATAATAATAATAATAATAATAATAATAATAATAATAATAATGATGATAATAATAATACTGTTCTATCATAATTACTAAAGACGGTAACTCCAATTCTTACAAACCTTCTGGCTCGGATACTGCAAATGATCTTAAACAAAAATTCTGATGACACTAAAAAACTTAAAAATCAATCAAAACTATTTGTTGTCATGTACTTTACAATAATAGGCATGCATTTTTGTTATTTTGAACCTTTTTTACCTTTCATGTCATGCATATTGTAAAACTCGGGTCCATGACACTTTGAGAAATGAACTGAACAATAATTCACTTGCTACTATAATGGTTGCAGAACTTCTTATCAGCGTGCGCAAGCTGAGATTAGAGTGTTATCCATTTCATCTAATATCTAGGCCTATAATTTTGCAGCAAAAGCTAGATGTGTGTGATTTGTAATATACTGGTAAGTGTCCGTGCATGTTAGTGTGAGACCAGGATACAGGATATATTTGATTCCCCGCCTGGAAAGTTTTTTTTTTTTTACATCTTGACATTGAGAGATTCTAGAGAAGACTGAAACAGAGAGAACATTAAAGAATCTTTACAAACAGCTACTTTTCATTCTCTTGTGTTGTTTTTTCAAAATTTTAATGACGCTGTCCTAGACACCCGCCTGTGTGAGACTGTTATGTTTCCCCGCTACAATAATTGGCCAATCGACCAAGGGCCTACGACATTAATTGATAATTACTTTCGTGATGAATTTGCCCTTTTTTCTGAAGAAGAATGTCCTGATAAACATTTTAGTGGTCGATATCAACTAAGGGGCTGTTCAAATATAATCTTACACCTTTTTTGGGACTTTTTGACCCCCCTCCCCCCCTTTTCTTACACTTTTCTTACATTTGCCCTT